TTATTCGATCTACATTACACATAATTACATTATGAATTTCAATCGGAAGCAATTGTGCAAAGATGAAAAAGTTGCTCCAATACTCAGCTGCTCATTTTCTTGTATGAGGACTAAAATGAAGGGCAGATTTAGGAAACGTGTAAGTCTAAAGGCCCTTGCACACTGAGTCCGAAATTTCCGCACTTTAAAAAATAAATACGACCTCACATTATGTCAATCACGCTTGCACACTGCCTTCAAAACTTTCATCCGTCATAAAAAAAATAAAAACGCGTTAGATTTTCTGTGTTTTTTGCACAGTTTGAATGGAGCCACCGAATCACGAACATGAAAAAACGCATATGAAAATTTCAGACTCAGTGTGCAAGGGCCTCAAAGGGGTCATATAATGGTTCATGGACTTTTACAAGTTGATTGTACTGAAATGTGTGTTGGCAGTGCCTGTACACAACCATCATATAATGATAAAAATCCATCCAGTGTTTTTATATTAATCTCCTTATAATTTTTCCCTGCCTCAAATCGAGCCTTTCGATTTTGTGACGTCACTAATTCGGACGCCCCTCCCACGATTGTTGATTGACAGCAGCGTTTCAACACAGACCCGCCCTGAGCGAGCTGTCATGATAGTCCGTCATTGTTGATACACTGTAGCAGAATGGCATCTAAGCGATTGTGGTGTTCTGTTCTTGGGTGCAATAACAAACACAGAAATCATTCTGATGTTCCTAAATCTGAACCGCTGAAGAGACAGTGGCTGAGTTTTGTTTTCGAAGGGAATATTCCCCGCGAGCAACGTCAACGCTTTCATGTTTGAGCGAATCATTTGTCTCCAGACTGCTTTATAAACGAGCGTCAGTATAAAGCTGGTTTTGCTAAGAAGCTGCTCCTGAAAAAAAGAATTGGTACCAACTATTTGTGTCCCTGCTGCACCTCCAGAAGAAGTGTGTAACGTTTAATTGACCTTTATATTAATCTTTTGAAATCGCGAAAAATAGTTGTTAATGACCATTAACTGTAACATCAATCTGTCAATGAATTAAACTACATACATCAGTAAACACATAATGTTCGTATCTCACTACTCTACCCTGCCAGTAAATACAAACATAGATCAAAGTGACATTGCGTTAAGTGACTTCGGTTCAAACTGATACGGTTGCACGGATGTGTCCTCAGAGACTCCCGCTGCCATTCTTTCTCTAAAATTTACCCTCAACAGTTGTCAAGGCAACACTCCACGTGCATTATGTCAAAACGCCCTATAGGACAGAGGGGCGGAGTGAGCGAAGTTCAATATCAGTTAAAGGCATATGCACTGAAACGGCATGCTGAAAACAGAGCTGTTTTTGACCAGGTAAAATTAGCGTTTTGTTACAATACTAATGAGAATTTTTAATAAAAGTATATCACAAAGTTTTCATTTAGACCCCAAATATTCATATTAACTTGTACAAAAATGGCATTATATGACCCATTTAAGTGATACAGAAATAAATTCTCTCAGACCTGTGTGTGTTTCTCTCCTCAGCAGAAGAGAGAGGGTCATTTTCCCTGCGTTGCTCTTGGGTAAATGATCCAACTAGCAGTTTAATGTGGGGATTCATGCATGCTAGTTAACAACCCCCTGCATATGACTTGGAGTACAATAATCCACTAGGTTAAGATCATATCATCTCCACTAACATCTTGGTGGTGGCTCTAATTGTTTGTTAAGGTGCACTCCATAAGTTTGCTCAAATGTGGTTTATTTAACTGAATGTAAGAGGACTGGGTCAGTGTTTTGACTCTTACCTGAACATTCAAAACAAGAAAGGCCCTTTTAAAAATCCTGACATTTATGGAGTTCACCCTGAGTGCTAAACGAATTTCTCTCCTCATCTGTCTGTCAGTATGAACTGAATTGCAGGATTAGTTTGTTCTAGTCATTAGTTAGATCATGTTCATTCTTCTTGTTAAAGTCAACATGAAATAACATTCACAATTCACTTTACTTCCATCGTGTGAGACATTTATGAGTGAAACTAGATAGGACTGTCACTGTACTTCATTTTATCCATAGGGTAAGAGAAAAGTCGGCATTATTTCCACTGCGCAACATGTTTGGCATCAGTAAGATTGTGGCTGCATTTACTGATCAAAAACAGTAATATTGTCAAATCTTTTTTTTAAGAGTTAACTGTTTTCTATTTTAATAAATTGTAAAATGTGATTTATTTCTGACATGGCAAGCTGAATTTTCATACTCGTTTTCAATCACATCACGATTGTTTAAGTAATATTTTTGTGGAAACTGTAATGCAGTTTTTAAGGGGTAATCTTTCATGATTAGAGTGTTAAAAAACAACATTTATTTGAAATGGTAAAGACTTAATGTTGTTACAAAATATTTCTGTCCCTCTTGCTCAATTAAATGCATCATTGCTGAATAAAAGTTAAAAGTATAATTTTCTATTAAAAAGAAAGAAAATAAATGACTTGAAACTTTTAAATGGTAGTGTATCAGCACAAACCAGTAAATCTACAGTAGCTAACGCTGAGCATGGCTGGACAGATTGAAAATATAATTGTTTCAGAGGCCAATTTAATAAAAGTTTATGAAGACAAACATTTTTCAACATGAATCCAATGAATTGTGCATAGTAAGAACAGGAACTCGCATTACAAAAATAAAGCGTATCAATTTTAATTTCATGTTGACTTTAAGCATGTTTAATGAATAAGAAGCTTTGTCATTTAATGCATTTGACAAATACGAATAATCTCAAGAATTTGGATCAGGAGGGTCTAGATGATCCACACCTTTACCGCAGTGTTACGCAGCTCACTGCAATGCTGAATCAGTGTCCTGGGAAACGGTACAGAGAGGACGTCCAGGGCTTGTGTTTCTGCTGCGTAAGACTAATCAGATCTTTAGATGAGTTCTCTACAAAAACCCAGAGTGTGTTTATATCAGGACAGCAGAGGGCCTTTGCAGTCTCCAGTCTACTTCAGTGATTTGATTTTATAACAGTGCAGTACTGTTACATTCATGTTGTTTCAAAGTAACAAGAACAGACACAGGGATGTGTGGCTGATGACGGTCATCAAATTACCTTTGTACTGATGGACAGGAGAGTGTTTGTGTCTGGTGTGTCTCTTGGGGCCGTATTGAGTGGTTTGCCTCTGCCTGAGAAAATCTACAGTTTCGGAGTTTGTTCTGCTGGCTTATCTACACCAGTTCACTGGCGTATGAGCTTTTCTGCGCATATTAACCGGTTTTGGGAAACCTTCCGTGTTATTAATGTCAAATCCTGTCTAGTTTATCCAGTTGGTGTGGAGTGGACTTGATAGAAATACTAGCAATTCTAACAGTAGTATGGTCTAATGTCTTGCATTGTATCTAACCTCAGTCTTATGTTTCTGTGAGCGCAGCAGGACAGTGAACAGTTTGGACCCCGGGACCGTGACGAACATCAATGCCCCGCTATGCTCCAACTCTCCATCCGGCCTGGTGCTCACAGTGTAACACTTAACAAACTCACTCCACTGAAAGAAGCATTATACAGCAATATAACTGTTCCTTTTAATACACTACTGAATCTCTGTCGAGATTACAGTGGGTTACAACAAGGTTAGTAATAACGCCCAACTGTAGCAGCACATCATATTAGTCTTTGTTGCAATATCCGACATTTTACTGCTGAAATACCTGTTAATATTTCCTAAAGATGTATATACCCATCTAATATATTTATGGTTACTGTTAATTTAGATATAAACATATACTGTATGTACATGGTTAATTTAGTTTTCTGTATTCTTTGCAAATGTGATGTCTTTTACCACAGTATAAACATTTATTTATTACTGTAGTGTTGGAAGGCAACGTATTTGAGATCTGAAAAAAAGGGAATTTACACTATTAATATATATGTTGTGCAACACATGCAGTGTTTGTGTATAAGAAGGTAGAGCTGATATATAAATTATATACTGTATATTGAAGGAAAAGGGAAGTTGAAGTGTGGCGATCTGACTATCTAGACTTACAGTACATGTGCACTTATATCCCCAATTGTTCAATTTTGGCTCACAAGGTCATTTTTTTTCCAGGTAGGGTTTACATTAAGTGCTAATGTGTGCCTCAGATGAGTGAACTTCCCATATTTTTGTCCCTGAAACGTGGCCTGCATATTGACAATTGACTGCTTTAGTAGTACTGTTTTACACTTTAGTCTCAGGTTGGTTTCCCAGCCTCTTAGTATTTGTTGGAATATCCATACATCATTTTTTTTTTCCTTGTTGTGAAGGACTTATCATATTCATTTTGGTTTGAATAGTGCAATGTGTTAAAAAGCACTTTTTGTTACTTTTGTGTGCTCAAATAAATGGTAGTGTTCTCATGAGTCTGTGTTATTGTAACAAACATTAAAATAAGAAGAACCTCAAAATAAATATTTTATGCCAACCTGATAATTTTATATAATATAATTTATATTGTATTCATTGATATTTTTAATTGGCTATTATTTTAATACTTTATATTGATTTTATTGGCTTCTTGATTTTTAATTTTTTTTTTTTTTTCAGTTTTAGTCATTTTAGTATTTCAACTTATTTTATCTCAAGTTAGTTGCCAAGACAATGTTACAAATCTTTGTTTAAATGTAAGATTTAAAGATAGTAGAGTAGCCCATTTATTGCATAAACACTTTGTTATTCTGGTTGAAACTTTCTTCACACCCTGATAGCAATCAATAATAGAAATGATCTAAATATTTTTTAAAAATTACATATATATATTCTGTGGAAGTCTCGGGACCAAAAAAATGTTGGTCTGAACATTACATTCATTTGTAATGTTATGTGCTTTGAGGCATGAGGCAATTTAACACTGTCTCTCCTGACACTTTGCAGAATCTGCATTCATTCGCTTTGGAGAGCGGGATCTAATGCAAAGCTAGCTTGCTATTGCTAAGCTCTCTGAAATTGCCTACCCTACCTTTAAATAAAATAAATGCCATCCAACATATTTTATTTTAGCTGAATTGTATTTCAATTAATGAAAATTATTATAATCACAGTACAACAACAACTGATCTATCAAGATTTAGTTGAGTAGGATTTTTTTAACTGGTGAAATCAATATTAAATGTTAAATAAGTATTCATAAAAATGTTATGTTTGTACAGTCCAAGCATCTTTTGTGGCAGAAATGAGGAACATCTAGCTTTGGACCATTCTTTCCTGATTTTCACCATTTCCTTGTATTTGTGTGATGTAAAATCCTCTTGCAAATGATCCAATTGTTGCAGTTAAAAATGATCAAGGCAACCAATTCAAATTATTATTGTCAACAAAACAGGTATAGGCTTTGTGTTGTGTTTGGCTAAATTGTACTTGCTTTATCACCCATGTACTTCCATGCAACTTCTGTCCCATGACTCCCATTTTATCAACAAGCAAAATCAAAAATTGTCCCACTTGTTCCTGGTCCGTGCTGGTTTCCTGCAGGTCTCCTCCGTTCAGGGAGCAGTCATCATCTCAGCTGCCCCTTGCATTCTTCTTCTCTGTAACTTCATCGAATTGTCTCTGCCTTCTTTCGAGCACCTCCTGTAGCTTGACCTCATTTCGGGATCGTTCCTGTTCCCTGAGATCTGCCAGGTCCTCCATGAACAAATGCCTTCGTGCACAATCATCATAGGGGTTATCAGACATGACAGCAGTTATTTTTTATCTCGGTTATAACGCATCAACACGTGCTGCTTTGTTTAGACTCATTTTAACACTGCCGTACTGTACAATACAATGGTCTACTACACATAATCTGTATTATTTTATATTCTTAACACTGTTACAATACACATGCACGGTGTCAATGTCAAGGGGGGTGTGTTATCTCACCTATTCATAAATGCTGTGGCCAAACCTACGAGCAGTGTCCCAAAAAGAATCGGTTTTGTAAGGCGCTTCCCAGTGGATAGTTTGGTCTGTTTCATGCTGGAAATTGATAGTCTTCGTGAAAGCAGACAAAGCAGCTAAAGTCTCAGTGAACTCTTACATTCACACGGATGAATATAAACTGCACATATTAACCCCAAGCATTACTTCCGGCTCTTGCGTTATAAAATAGGTCGCTTCATTTGTTTGAGATATTCTCTTGCGAAATAGAGGGAATGTTCTAAATAATCTACCCAATATAATTTTATGTTATGATATTTTACTGGTAAGCAGTATTATGACAAATGAACTTTAGATCAAAGGAACTAAGTTACACATAGACGGTTAATGCGGGGAAGTATTTACTGACGGACCAGTCGTGTTGAGCACAGCAGCTTCAGTGATGGGAAACTCATTTATCACAGATTCTCTGGATTAAATTAATTTGTATGTATAAAGATAGACCGTTTATTTGGACGTGAAATTTTAATTATAGGATACAATTATAGAACTTTCCTCAGCATTATTCTGCAAGAGTAAGTCACGTCTGCATCCGTCTCATATTTTTCTATCTATCTATCTATCTATCTATCTATCTATCTATCTATCTATCTATCTATCTATCTATCTATCTATCTATCTATCTATCTATCTATCTATCTGTCTGTCTGTCTGTCTGTCTGTCTGTCTGTCTGTCTGTCTGTCTGTCTGTCTGTCTGTCTGTCTGTCTGTCTGTCTGTCTGTCTGTCTGTCTGTCTGTCTGTCTGTCTGTCTGTCTGTCTGTCTGTCTGTCTGTCTACAGGTGCACATGGTAAACTGATCTCTATCTGTCTGTCTTTCTGCAGGTGTTAAACCCATGTTTCCCACAGTCCATATCTCTAATGGAAAGAAAGAATCGATTTTCTGTGTCTGACAGGTTTGAGTTCCTGCAGGGGCTGGTCACGGAGTTTCAGGACACTGACAATGAGGGTATGTCAATGCTTGCAGATGCATACATGACCTTGATTCAGTTTGTGCAATCTGTAAGCTTTCACTGAGAAACTATAATCAGTACATGTAGTAATTGTTTACAGTTGTCTTTCTAATAAAAGAATTAGGTTTTCTGAAAACTGCATCATTTGTCTTTTCACTTGGCAGAGTCTAAAGAGCAAGTGCTGGCAAACCTGGCCAACTTTGCCTATGATCCATCCAACATGGAATCTCTGCGAATGCTCCAGGTCACTGACCTCTTCCTGGACATGCTGACAGAAGAGAATGACAACTTTGTGGAGTTTGGAATTGGTTGGTATAGCTTTAACGTTGTATCTATTGGCTGTTACAATCTGTTCTCATGAATCAACAATGTTTGAAATCATACAGGTGGTTTATGCAACCTCAGCATGGAGCGCGAGTCCCGCGATCAGATCCTGCAAAGCGGTGGAGTCCCATTAGTGATATCATGCCTGTCGAGTAATAGAGATGAGACCGTTCTCTCTGCCATCACTACTTTAATGAACCTCACCACAGCTGCCTCGCGTGCTGAGACCACAGACAGCGCAGTGGTGCAGTGCATGCTGCGCTTCTCCCTCACAGAGAACCCCCGTCTCAGGAACCTGGCTTCTGTCTTCCTGCAGGACTACTGCACCCAGGAACAAGTGGACAGAGCCCGAGAGGGAATGCAGGGACAAAACCAATCAGTGGTGGGGATTCCACTTCCAAAGGACTGACTTTTGATTTTGCATGTAATTGTTCCTGGACAATTGCAAATGTTTATGTCATTTAAGATTATTTTGAAACATTAAACCTTATTTTCTCAAATCATGCCTGGGTTGATATTTATATATTTTTTTCTACTTAAAATTATAGTTAGTAATGTAATGCATTGCATTACACATTTACGGTTATATAATCTCCTTACTTTTAGATTACTTTTGACCTAACTTGTGAATCAAATTGATACTTCAACAGGACAATGTTGGTGTATGTTGGCTTCTTTCTTTCAAATTTAAGTCGATTTAAAATGTAAACTTTTTAATAGTAATGTTCACTTTAAACCAAACAGATCATTTTTATCTGCTGTACCGTGGCTGACGTTTAAATAATATAAACTTTTACCTAGTAGTAGTACCTAGATTGTACATTAGGATACTCTAATAGCTCTAAGTTGACCACCTTTCAGTTTAGTTGATTAGCTGTCAGATGTGACAGAACTTGATAGATACATGTTAGAATGATGTGACATGGTGTAAGTGACTCCGTCTCAGGACCATCCTGTGCCTGGAGTGTCCCAACAGTCCTCAATCAGCATATTGATGAATCCCTTCCATTAGCATACTGATGCTAAAGGCCATTGTGCCATGTTTAATTCACATGTATCATTTTTAAGGGATTTCTGAAGTACTAGGGCAGTAAAGAGTTCAACCCATATTCGCTCAACTCTACAAATAGACATTTTCGAGAATGGATGGATACTTCACAATGTGGGTGATATGGTACAACTGGTAAAGTGTGTAAAACTGGAAAAGAAAATTCAAAGGAACATTTTTCAGAAATTGAACATTTTAAATGTCTTTACTATCACTTTTGATCAATTTAATGCTTCCTTGCTGAATAAAAGTATTCATTCCTTTTAAAAAACTGACCTCAGCTGTTGTGTATACAGAAATTGGATTCAAAATCAAAAACATAGGAAAAGCAGCAATGCTTGAAATGCTGTTCTACTAAAGGACACATGGGGGAGACGCTTAACATATTTTCAGCTCCTTTTTAAGATTTTCACTCATGCTAGAATCCAAATGAGGTGTTCCTTTTAGTGGAAGCAATGATTCCATAAATCTTTGTTAATTTTATGAAATATATTACACAGTCAAGTGAATGCACCCGATAATGACCATGAGAAGCATGCAGTGAATGACGGATTCCATTATTAGCTGCAAGGAAATCTGAAAAGAATGTCTGGGGTTTTGTCCAGGTCTTTAGTTTTTAAGTCTCACCCTAAATGATCCTCACGAAACTATGCGTTTGTCCAAACCAGAGTAGCCATTACTTTCCAGCAGACCCATTAGAATGCTATGAGTGGACATCTTTCCAATCCATACGGTCTCAACACTAGCATCAAAACGTTCACATCACGAGCCAAGCAGGAAAGCACCAAGGCCTAAATGAACACCGAGAGGGCACACCTGAGATCACAATGAGGGAAACTACTTTACTGCCAACAAAAAGACTGCGTTTTTGCCTACCCTATTTTTGGATATTTCAGTAATAAAAAATTTAAAACATATGAACTTCAGATTGAATAGTGAGCAGATGTGCACGGAAACCAACAAACGACGGAAATAAACGAACACTGTTTTCTTCTCATTTCTTTTATTCATAGTGTAATTTAGGTATACATTTATAAAGACATCTACCAAAAACTGGCCTAGTGTAACATCATTTTGATACTGATATATTTGGATCCAATGATTAAGTATTATTATTTGGTTCTAAAAACAATTCATACCAAAATAAAGAAAATTAATAAAAGGCACATGATCCTTAACATGTATAAATGCCACATATATTTTTAAAAATAGGGTAACGTAATCGAGTAGCATCATGTATGTATAAAACATATACAATGTGTATATGTTTATAAAATGTTTAATAACATGTTAAACAAATTTAATAACATGTTTGATTATAAATATGGCTTTTAAAACAATGAAATCATAATATTTTTGAGTAACAATACCCTTATGCCCTGCTTGTAACTGTTTTAAAAAAATACCACAGGTGCTTTTGCAATCAGAGTCCAAGCTGTTTTTCTGTCTGCTCACGCAGTTTTTGCTTCTGGATCTGACAGAGATGAAGAAAAGAAACAGTTGTAGTGATATTAAAGGGTTCAATTCAATCTGTCGACAGCAAACCACAGGCCTTTAAAAGCAAAGGTGTCATAGTAGCCCTTAAATGTCTGAAACCACATCAGTGGCTTTCAGGCAGACAGGGAAATTGCTTGAATATCTTCAGTCTAGTCTAGAGACAAATGTGAATTGGCTCAAGAAAAAAAAAATGTCTACATTTTCTTCATTTTTAACATGATGCACCCACAGAGACATAGAAAAGGGGGAGATTCATTATTTAAATGCTCACTGGAATGACTTTCTCTAGACTAAATTAATCATCTGTGTTGTTTATTGTTAATAACAGTGGTGGTGTGCCGTGACTTTCATACTTTTCATATCACTTACCTTGCCTGTGACAGTCAAAGGATATCCCTGAACAAATGTTACATAGCGTGGCACCTTGTAATGGGCAATCTGCAAAAACAACAGTAATATTTTAATGGCAAATAGTTGTGTACATGTGCTGGATAACACATAAAGCATGACAGATATTCAGACCTGTTCTTTGCAGTAGGCCTTGAGCTCTTCTGCAGTGCATTCCTGACCAGGCTTGAGTCTAATACAAGCACAAACTTCCTCTCCCATTCTCTCATCCTTCACTCCAACCACCTGTATGGACAACGGAGAGTTAATTCTTTCCTAGCTTAAACCATCTTACTTTCTTTTCTGTTAAAGAAACAGTTGATGAGAAGTGCTTACATCAAGATAAGAAGTGATACATCAGTGTCACTGGTTAAAATGCTTTCTTTAGTTTGTAATGTTGCCATTTGAGCATATAAAGGTCTGCAAAGTTACCAAGCACAAATTGTAATCTTAAGGTTTCTTCCGGGAACGTACACACTACAATATTCCTCATTTAAATAATTCCCACTCAAGGCTTTTGAAAAAAAAAAGGGCTGAGACCTAGATGAGTTGGGTAAGGGGCATGACCATAGATATCTATATAAAGGCTAGATGTCTCACGGCGGAGTATTTATCGTCATCACCGGCGGCCATCTTGTCACAGGCTCTGTGGTATCTGATGGAAATACTCTTATCTCATTGAAATCTTGACGGATTTACGAACGGTTTGGTTTCTTACAAACGTTATTAACGTGGCTATAATTCTGGATGATTATTTATTTATGCACTTATTATTCATAAGTATGCAGTATCATAACTACATCTCTGCCGTTTATAACAAACCAGACCGTTTGAAAATCAGTAGAAAATTGAGCAAGTTACGGTGATTTAAAAAGTACATGCACCAATAAAACAATGTTACCAGTGAG